AACACCGATCCAAAATCAAAATCCTTCAACCCCAGATAAGTTAAGCCATCTGGCTAGACTGATCATAGATATGGTATTTTAGACATCAGTGATACGAGCTCGCTATTCTTCCCTGGGAGAAAGAATTTATCCCTCCTCGCTTAGCATTTTGTTCCTCCGTTTCCACTTCATTCTTGCTTTCCAATGCGTTTCAAGGGAGGCTTAGTGGGCTGTAAGCAAAGTTAAGCCTGAATCGACAGAGAGCTCTTTTTTCTTCTCTTTCAGAGTCGGCCCATCGTGACAGAGGCGCCATTGCTGCGAACGACCAAGACCTTGGAAAAGTCGAAAACCCTCGAGAAATGCCCAGGCCCCCTTCCTCCTTCACCGCCTTTCGCCGAGCGCGATCCGAGTTAAGGGCCGAGGTGGCGGACGGCGGACGGCTGACGGCCAGTGGGGCAGCTCGGGGAGGGGGGGAAGCAACTTCTACCAGAGCGAAGACCCAGCTCCGAAGATGCCCGAGATCACCCCGCACACTCCATCCCGCAGGCCCGGCCTGTCTGCCCGGCGTACCTTGGGCGGCCTGATCTTGCAGATGCCCGTTTTCTCAGCCAAGGGTCGGATGCGGCCGATGAAGCCGAGGGGGTTGCTGAATTCCTCCCAGCTGGGCTCAAAGACGGGGCACTCGGGCGGAGGCACGAATTCTGCCACGTAGTGCGGTCCATCGAGGCCGTCGTCGTCCCCCGACTTGGCGTCGGCGGCGCCTTCGTCCCTGCCGCTGCCTCAGGACCCGGACGGGGGAGCTCGGCTGGCGGGGAGGGGGAGAGGGAGGGAAGGCGAAACCGCTCAAAGATGGACCGGGGGGCGGAGGGACATCCCGGTACCCAGCGAGGAGCAAACGCGATCCCGGCCCCTGAGCAGCGCAGTCCCTCGAAGGCAGGCCGCGGCTCCCTCGGCCGGTCCAGGCCCCCGTTTGTTTTTGTTCGCCCCCCCGCAAGGATTTGCTGCTTTGCGTGTGTGTATGTTTTTTTTCCTTTCCTTTTCCTCCCCTTCTTGAGGCTCAGCGGAAGTGACGCGTCTCAGTTAAATCCCCTTTCTTGCGGAAGCGACTAATCATATCCTTCCGCTGGTCTTTTTTTTAAAAAAAATTTATAGTCCCGGCTCTCCGCTTTTCTCCTCCCCCGGTCTGAAGCGCTTCTCTCTTTTCTTTCTCTCCGCGTTATCCGCTTTAGCACTTCGTCCAACGAAGCTATGATGCCCCAACAAATGCTACAAGGGGCTCAACGGCGTTGGGGCCTTCGGAGCCGCGGAGGAGAGCGAAGGGAGGGCACGGGTGTGTGTGGGTGTGTGTGTTATGTGCGCGCGCACGTCTGTCTTTCGGCGGATACGTTCTACAACAAGAACTTCCGGTGCCGAAAGCTCGCTTCCCCTTTCGGGCTCTCTGTGAATAGATTTTGCCCTGCCCCTTTTTGTAGAACCTTCGCGGGGCCGCGAGCTCTTCCACTGGCCGTCGCGCGCTGCTCTCTCGCCAAGCTACCTTCAGAAGCCCCGTCAGTTATCTTTACGTTCCCCTC